CTGTGACGTCATCAATTTAAATGTCACCAGATATTCTTGATAAGCAGATAGTAGAGCTAGGATAGATCTATCCGCACAACAGTCGGTTTTGGATATCGATGCCATTCTGTCGTAGCAAATTGAAAAACAACGTTAACAGTTTTGGTACAAAAATGGTGGTAAAATGACCCATAATACCTTGAGTTGATCAAGGCCCCATTTTCAGGCTTTGCCCATGATTAACACCCAACTTTTTACGCCAGCCAGAAAGAATATGAAACGCAAAAGGTAGCGGAAGTAGAAGGGTCGAGAAAAAGGAAAGAAAATTGGCAAGAAAAAAATTCGGAACGCGCAAACGCAAAACAAAAAAACAAAAACAGTCCAAAATTCTGGCTTATGAGCATGCACCAAATTACAATATTGTACGCTTTTGTACCTAATCTTCGGGAAATCTACCTTTTTGGTTAAAAAAAGCTTTTTCAGCAAAACTAAGGCCCATTTAGCGTCATGGCAGCCACAATAACTGATTTCACGGTCAAAAACGGCATTTTTCGTGAAAATTTGGGCGTTGAAGGGTTAAAGAAAAGCACGAACTAACCCTCTGTATTTTTGGCAAAAATGCAGAAGATCGTTTATGGGTCCAAAGTTTGTTCGTTATAGAGACTTAAATAGGTAAATTGGCACGAATTATAAAGAAAAAAGAACGTTTTGGATAAAATTGTACTTCTCTCTAAGGAAAACAGGGCTGAGTATTATTGGAGCGAAATAACTTAAAGCTCGAATTTGAGCGCCTTTTTGCTGGAGTTGAAGGGGATTACAATTGATTCTTATATTCAAAAGAAGGTTCTAATTTTAATAAAGCCATGTGTGATAATTATATAATTATGTAGAGGCATTTTGGTGTTATCCTGAGAGAGGAAAGCGAGATTAGCGAGCTCGGTAGCTAGTCATGTCATTACCTGTTGTTCAGCGATCTGTTTTCTTCGTTCTTCTAGCGCCCGTTCTTGTTCAGACGTTTTGTCGATAATGCTCTTCCCTCCAACCAGTAATTTGCTTTCCATCATCTTTTAAGAAAAAAAAAGACACAGTCTTTAACAAGAAGCCTTAACCCTCGTGTACAGGCCTTATCTTGTAAGCTTAGTATATAATTAATATGACATTAACCAAAAGCTCAGAAGAAAACGATCCCATTCCACTTTTAGTTACCGTTGTTATAAATCAACTTACCTTGATTTTTGATTTTAAAGCAGATTGTGCTTCTTGTTGCTTTTTCAACAGCTGCGCCCTCTTCTGAATTTCACCCATGAGTTTCTCCTTTTCCTTAAGAAAAGAAAAGTAAAGAATGAGTAATAGTCAAAAGTGGTATCGACTGGAAAATTCCTGTGTTAAATAACGCACAGCCTCCATTTGGCGCGAAAATATGCTCGGATATTTGTCCGCGGACATTATCTCTTCCGAGAAGCAAACAGTTTTCTTAGAGCGTGGCTCGAGGAAAACTGAGCATATTTTCGCACAAATAGAGGCTATTGCGTTTATTATCCATTTAATAATTTTTGCAATACGTACAGTTTCTAAAAATGGGAAATATCACTCAGATATTCCCCAGTTTTAGCTGGGGATTATAGACAGAAATCGAGAGCGAATAATCTAATTGTTTTAGTAGAAATCTACAAGTCGTTCAAAACTTTATCTCAATCCTCTTCGCAGAGACTTTGAAAACGCCAAGAAGCGGCCGTCGTTTTGTTAGCAAGGGCACACTGCTACGTTACTCACTATCAATCACAGAATAGGTAGTGAGTAGCGTAGCCAATCAGAGAACGGCATTCGTGATAGAACCGGCGGTAGTAGATTTATACTAAAACTCGATAGAAACACAGTGCATGTTCACAGGTGAACGAGAAATAAATCAGCGCGTAGTGGATGCACACCTCGGCCATCATTGTGTGGTTATCCTGCAGAGATTTCTTGTCTTCTTCAAGCTTGATTTTATCTTCTGTGCTCTTCGATTCTCCTTCCTCGCCATCTTCGTCTTCTTCTTCGACGATAGAGCCTTAAAAGGGAAACAAAACAAAACAAGACAAGAATATATAACTAAACAATAAAACACCTTCAATTCCTCAACACCCTTTTCAGGTTTTCAGATTCTCAGATGCTGTAGTTGGTAAAAACGGTACAAAGCTTCCAGCNGATGTATTCCTTTCCTGAAAGAAAAATCTAAGCGATGTTTGGTAAACAGCTGTTTTGAAAAACATGTTGCATGACGACTTTACTTTCCGCGTGTGTAAAGTAATTCGATATGTTGTTTTGACTGTGCATAAACTAGTAAAACTTTGACTGGGTTGTTTAAAAGAGCTTAAATATTCAGTGCTTTCTTAGATTCTTGTATGAAAACTTCTTTTAATGAAGAAAAAGTCAGCTGCTATGCCATTTTGGAGTGAAGTGCTTCTAAGTCAGTTGTTACTTCAAACACATTTTTAACATGAAATGAATTTACATCTAGAATTTTCCACGGTCATTTTTTGGAAAATTAAATCTCAGAGCCTTAATCTTTCACTACCCAGCAGCTTTGATCCTGACCCAGTAAATATCCCCATAAATAATATACGATTAAATAGAGTATGTCACGTGACCAAATCAAGGTTTCCAATTGCTTCTGAAAATATGCCACCTTGCATTTCGATCCGTCTGCAATATATAAATTTCATTACAGTACCCAGGGGATTAAAATAAATGACTTAAGTCTTGTTATTTGTGGATATGGAATTTCCAAGGGGTAGGGGGACCCAAGTAGAAAACTCATGGAAATTCCAGGGGGTGGGGGGAGTACCATGAGCCCCCTGGAGGATCAAATTGGAAACCCCCCTTCCCCACAGGAGGGGTATGGATATTTTCTGGAACCACACATTGATTAATTCTAAATGTTTTATTTTAATAAGGTTTATTTCAAAAGGGAAATCAAAGATATTTAGTGAATCTAAGCTCTGTATCATTAATTATTATTTAGGTAATTAATTAATTAATCATCATTATTTTTGCATACTAAATTGTTTAATAAATAAAATAATTTTGGGCCAGCTCCTCAGAAATTTGGGCTAGTAGGATGAAATTACAGCTTGCCCGAAGGGCAAGTGGTTTTTTTGAATTTCATGTTACCCTGCTTTTTATACACTTAGTCCACTCTCATAAGGGAACTGTCCCTCCAGAATTGGAAAAAGTGTCTGTAGGTAGACCTGTCTGCTTACGGGAACAAGAAGGAAAGTGGACCATGACGAACGTGCTAACAACGTGACACAAAAAAATTTCACTTCGGACTCTTGTTTTAATGTCAATTGCTTTGCTGCCAACAAATGGAGATTTGACAAAACTGATCCCCACTACAGGTTCTGATGAGCACTGTCAAAGGTCTTACTTACATGCAAGTTGATTTATTGCAAATTAGAGACAAATTTCATTGCCAAGAGTCAAATATTCATGGGTTGTCTGCTTACGAGATGGCGTTACACTAAAGAAAAATCCAATTTACATTTTCAAAATTGTGCGCGTCCGCTTACGAGAATGTGTAAATTACAGAGTTTGACTAGGAGGTAAAACCGGGAATTGATAAGAAGTGTAGAGCTGACAGCTTACGAGAGTTGCCGTTAGTGGAGCTCTAGTTGACTGTACATGTAATTTAACATTGAATTAAACAATAGAAAGAAAACCAAACAATGCTCACCTGGAAAAAAGTGTGACCAAGCCACTCAAAGAATTAATTGTTAGTAATAAAAGTATGTGTGATTCTTTTTTTTAAATGAATTAATAATTATTTATAGTTGCCATTGGTTATCCACAATCAAAATAAAGAAAAAAACCTACCATTATACCCTTCAAGAACAGAATCCACCAACTGTCTAAATGTCTCATCATAGAGATCAATCTGTTTTGAACTAAATAAATATCAGAAGCACAGCAACGTTAAAATGCAGATGCCAGGAGCTAAGTTATAGCAGTTTTTAGCAAACTTTTAAAATAACCTATTCAATGGACAATTTCACCTAAACCATTCATGTATATACATAATTAACACAAAATCATAACATTTTTCAGCTACAGAAAAAGTTGCCTTCACTGTTAATATTAATAATTATGGTAGGGTAATTTATGGTGACACTCAATACATTTCTTCTTATCTTCAGGAGTGCACACATTTGATTTTTTACATGGCATGACATGGCAATAAATTAGAGTTATTTGTTCCGTGAGGATGGGCAGCAACAATTAAGGATCAAAGTCCTTTATTAAGGAGTTCTTTTCGTTGGTATTGAGCTGCTGGAGGGCTGGGCTTTGTAATACAGAACCAATAAGTTAATTCAGGAATCATATTT